TTTATAAGTTTATATATTTAAGTTGGGGAAAAATATTTTTTAAATGTCTAGATATTTCTACCAGAATGTGAAGCATCATCCTGAATTCAGGCAGATAATATTTAAGATAATGAATATTACATTCTAGTTACTTTTAGAAGCAGGTAGAATTAGTCTTAGCAATAGAAAGCATTTTGCAAATAGTGACATTTGTTCTGAAGTGAGCTGTAGATTAGATGGTTATTAATATATTTATGTTATTCCTGAGTTTATAAAGACCGCTAATGGTGGTAATTTGAATTCTGGAGAAGGAATTAATATTTCTATCACCTACTAAATGCCATTGTGGTAGGTAATTTCCATGTTTAATTTCATTTATTCTTACAATATCCACTTGAGATAGACAATCTTTATTATCTTCTTTGTACAGATCAACTAAAAATCAGAAGTTTCCAAACTCATTCAGTTATTGGCTCACTGAGGGACTTTTAAAAAGAATGTTCACAAAGTAGCGTGAAGTGAAAAAAGTCAGATCCATGATTGTCTGTCTGTCTAGTATGATCCCAACTTTGTAAAACAAAAATTAAAAAATGCATAGATAAAATGATTGAATAAACTATAACAAAATGATAATGGTGATCAGTGCCAAGACTATATTTTATTTTTTTATTTCTGGGTATTTCCCAATTTTCTATAATAAGCCAACATTTTTATAGTTTTAATAAAGCAACCATTGGTTTATCAAAATGTACTTGCCAAAAGGCAGTGACATGGAAAATGGTAGCCCCAGGAGTTATATCCAGAACCAAAGTCCATACCTTTTGCTGCATCACACCTTCCTAAAAATCACTTCTGAATAATCACCATTATTCAGTGGAATGGCTACAATTCAAATTGAGTCAATTAAACAAAGGAGGATCATGAAGTCACTTTTCAGTTTCTGAGTTCATTTCTTCAAATGATCTCCACGACTAAGGAAACCAAAAAAAATAAGCTCTTTCATTTTTTTCAATGCTTTATCAGCTTTGTGACAATTCTCTGAAAACTTTCATTTCAGTGGATCTAATAGACTAGGGATATCTTTGTAAGGTGTTCATCTTCATCCACCCAAAATTGTATCTTTAAGGCTAATGAGGAATAAACAAACTTATTGGGCTGAATTAAACAACAACAACAACAAATAAATGTAGCTTATGTCATTCTCGAATATGGCCACATAGTCAAATATTCTGACATTGAATATTAACTATCCTATAACCAAATCACTCAATATTTAGTTCTTTTGTGACCAAATGACAAATTTAGCAGACACTTTTTTCATTTTTCCCCATTGATTATTTTTAGATTTGAATAAATGAAACATAACCTAAACTTGTTTATAAAACTTTCAGCAGAGAGACACCAATGGGACGCAAGGTGCCCAGCTCTTAGGGATCCGCAGTGACTCCAAGCTCCCTGTTAAGGTCTCCCATGCTGGGGCAGGAAGAGTCCAGCCTCCTAAGACCTGGCCTGAGTCACCCCACCTCTCTGGAGATCCCACCATGATTAGTGACCAAGGCGGGAGGGAGTTGTGAGCCAGCACCCATATGCCTGCCTTCCCTCCCTATTTTACATTGCAGAAGTTACAGAAAACATACCTGTGACGATGAGCTTTGTGCCAGAGCCAAACATCTTGATATATCTGCCATCCATCCATTTGCCCACCACCTTAAAAGCCTTTATAAAAATCTCTCCTTGTGCTTGTTTTAAGATTGCTCTGATTTTTTTTCAGTATATATATAAATACATAAAAATTGGCCCTGATTACATTAAGCCCAAGACACAGATCAAACAAAACACAAGAGATCTGAATACAATCAGGAATTTAAGAACTGACCCCTCTCTGCCTGGGAAGTTTGGGTTCTACCTGCTCTCTTCTTCCGTCACACGGGTTGGAGAGTCTGATTTTACCTTTTCTCATGATTTTGCCTGAATCTTCTATATCTTCTCCCTTAAAGGGTTTTCACATATGACATAAGTTCTTGTTCTAGAGTGTAATTTAGAGTAAATTAATATAGCCTCAAAGAGAAACAATAATAGGAGTCTCAGATTTGAA